ATGTTTGCACCACCTGAACGTTTACAATAACCGAACAATAGAAATCATGAATTATTCATTCCTTTCCTGAAAAAATTTAACTTATGTCACACAGGCAAAAGAACGCCTAAAATTGCAAATGAATTGTAAAATGAATTGTAAAATGGTACACGTTATAAGAAAAAAGAACATTATACATAAAATCGTCGCTGTTTTCACGAAGTGACGGTAGTGGAAAAAAATGCATTCACTTTGCGTGACGATTTTCCTCACTACCGTCACTTCGTGAAAACAAGGACGAAATGTCTAGTCATCATTATTATTGTATGCATTCAACAAATGTAACTTGAGTTTATATTTAAATTGATGAATAGAAGAAGAGTGAAGTAAATTAGGATGAAGATTGTTCCAAAAAGACGGACCAGTATACACAATTGTTTTTTGAGAAAATGAAGTGCGTAAAAGGGGGATGTGAAAATCATTCCTTTTCCTGGTAGGGTATGAATGAATATCCAAGTTCTTAAAGAAAAGAGAAGCAATAGAATCAGGCAAATCATTTGTTGTAAGTTGATACATGAAAATACCCAAATTATAGAGAAATATATCAGACACATGTAAAAGGTTATTGTTGAAAAATAAAATGTTAGAATGTGACCGGAAACCAACATTGTGAGTTATTCTCAGGGCTCTTTTTTGAATGACCAATAAACTATGCAGTTGAGTCTTGGAGCAGTTGCCACAGGCTAAAATACCGTAATTTAAATAAGGGAAAAATAAGGTGGAGTATAGATTTAACAGGACATCAAGAGGAAAGAAGTGTTTAAGTCTGTTGATGACGCCAGTATTTCGTGATAAAAGTTTACATAAATTTCCAACGTGCATTTTCCAATTAAGTTTACAGTCTATAACAAGACCAAGAAATTTTGTGTGTTCAACAAATAAAATGTTTGTGTCATTAATGGAAACGTTACCAGGTAGTGATGTTATGGAGTTACTGAAAAGCATATAGTTCGTTTTAGTCACATTAAGAGATAATTTATTGGCATTAATCCACTCCAAAACAGAAAGTAATTCATTGTTTACAACGTCAGCAATAATATTTGGATTTGGATGAGTAAAGAAAATATTGGAATCATCGGCAAAAAGTATGAATGACAAAATGGTGGAGGAAGATTGGAAATCATTAATGTAAAGTAGAAACAAGAGCGGACCAAGAAGGGATCCTTGCAGGACACCACAAGTGATGTGTCGTAGACATGAGTCATGATCATTTAAATTAACATATTGCATTCTATCTGTGAGGTAATTCCTGAACCACTCCAAGGCCTTCCTTTTGATCCCATAATGGGATAGTTTATATAAGAGAATGTCGTGGTTAACTGTGTCGAAGGCCTTGGAGAAGTCCAGGAAAATACCAATAGTATGGGACATATTATCAATAGCACATGCAATCTTATTAATGAACATGAGTAATGCATGAGTTGTGGAGTGTTTACGTCGGAAACCATATTGTGATGACGATAATATATTAAATTTAGTTATGAATTGAAAGGTACGAGTATATATAAGCTTTTCTAAGATTTTTGAAAACGACGAAAGCAAGGAAATTGGGCGATAATTACTCAAGTCATCTTTACTACCAGATTTAAATATAAGAACCACCTTAGCAATTTTTATTTTTTGAGGTACAATACCATTTAGTAAAGATAAATTTAAAATATGAGCAAGAGGATGGGCAATCACACCGATTACCTTTTTTAAAAGAAAATTAGTTATGCCATCAGCACCTGCAGTTTTTTTATTCTTAAAATTATTGACAATACTAATTAATTCAGAACAGTCTGTTGGAGTTAAAAATAATGAACTTTGGTTGGAATGTGTGAGAAACGAATGAAAGGGTCTACCAGATGTGGGAATTTTCTCAGCTAGCTTTGGCCCTATTTGAACAAAAAAAGAATTAAAAGATTCAGCTAAATCATGAGAGTCTTGAGGTATGAACTGATCTTGTATTGAGGAGCAGAAAATACATGTTTTGTTTTTTAAAATGCATCTTATGCTAATAACATGCTTTAGTGGTTAGGAAATTATACAATTTGGAATTCCTATCAGCGCAATGATTTTTTTTTACAGTGGTGGGGTTGTATAATCTTGTATAGGGGAAAAAAACACGTTATCTTAGAAACATGTTGTCAACATATGGATGAAAATTATGAAATAGTTTTAAAGGATAGATATTTAAAGCATCGACCATTTGAGTTCTCGAAATGCACGTTACGATAGAAACAAGCTGATTAAATTAATATGATACAAGACAAGCAGACTATTCTAAAGCGAGCCTTATCACATTATCTTTTCTGGTTAAACAAATACCAATAACGTGTCACACTTTAATGCACCTGCGCTGATAAAATAATGGATGGCATCGTTTTCTATCAAAGGTTGGTACCTTCAAAGGTTCTACTATTCGAATTTTTCTAAATTAAACAGGGCTCACCACTAACTCTGAACGAGGTAATTGTGAAAATTAGAAATTCTCTCTTCTTTTCGGAAAAAAGAACCCTATTTCATCTTCTGACTTTTCATTATAAACCTTTGAAATGACGAGCATTTGGAAAAAACGAACCCCAGAATTAGATTGATCGTAATAAAGTATCTTTCTGGGAAATATGAACCTTCGGAATTATGTATCTTCGAAAGAATGATAAAACATCGACAAAAAATGAACTAAACTCGGTTTAGTTGGTGAATTGTCCGACAATTCGGCCGAACAAAATTAATGAGTAATTTCGAACATCATTTGGCTCATCGTAATAATTATTGTCCCGACCGAATTTTTTAAAAAATTAAACATACACATGATAACCATGCTCAGAAGAAGACTAATGGAAATGAAATTTCAGACCTTTGGAAATTATGAGATTTGGATATCTATCAGCGCCATTTATTTTTTAGAGAGATAGGGGTTGTTGTTTGTTTGTTGTTGTTGTTGTTTTTTTTTTGGGGGGGGGGGAACACACGTAATACCTTAGAAACATGATGAGTGGATCGTAACTATGGGACATCATTAGAGAAAAGAAATTGATGGCGTCGACCGTTATTTTGTTGTCGTTGAAATGCACGTTAGGATGGAAACAAGCATTAAGAGACATGAAACTCTCTCTCTCTCTCTCTCTTTTACACACATACACACACACACACACACACACATACATAGAAAAAGGTCATATGAACGTATTTTCATTTAAATTGCACCTTAAGATTTTTGATTGTTGATGCCGCCATCCTTAGTAAAGCGTTGCTTATGAAAGCGGTCTCCTGCACTTTTTTTGCAGATAGTTAAGATAATACTTAAAATATTATTCATAAAAATTTTGTATAGAAATATTATGTTCGTTATTATAATATGTACATATATGTAAATCACATTTTGACATAAAGTTATCATTGTTTGCATATTTGAATTATACCAAAGGTTTACATGTGTTTGTCATTCAGTTATTGTTTTTGAAAAATTATCTAATTTTCACTGGCTGGACAATTGAATATATATATATATATATATGTATATTTGATACAGATTTTGGAGGAAACTGATCATGACCTAGCACGGGTACCCTACCATGGATGGGGAGAAGATTATAATGAATGAATACAAAATGTAAGGTTGCTGATGTGAAGAACAGTGAAAGTAAGGTTACCTCATCCTCCCTGACACAGCGAGAACAAAAATTGTTTTGTAGTAGGTTACAAATCAATGTATAGCGTTGTCTTGTTGCCAAGAGAAAAGACGACCCCCAAATTTAACCTTCATGGATAATTCCGGCACGGAAAAAGTCTGAATATTTCATGAATGCATATATAATTGAATTCTAAACATGCGTAACGCTTGGATTCTCTGGCTTTTGTAGGATAATGGATGGCATTGAGTTTTTTTTTCTCTCTCTCTCTCTCACACACACACATACACACAAACGCGCACACACAATACACTCTAAAATTCATGCACAAAGATCATATCAACATATTTCAACTTAAAGAGAAGGTTCAGTGATTTTAAAAACTAACTTTATTGTCATTATTGCAAAGGTGAAACTTTGATTGGACAATTAAGGTTAGCAAAACTCAATGCTTGGAAACATTCGAAGTAACGATTATTATAAATTACAAAACGCTTAAATACGGCTCCGGCATAGGACCTAAAGAGCTTTCCGATCGCTGCTGAGATGTGTGACGTCAAATGTTGAACATGATTTGCACAAGCAGACGATGTCCAATGACATCTCACATATTTTTAGTGCCTGTATTGTCATCTTCTCTTCAGTTATTTCTCTTACTTAGCTACCGTCAGGCTAAATGTTTATTCTATTGCCTTACTCTAAACACCTAGCGCATGGCATTATTTCAAGAAGGAACAAATGCCGTCAATGCTATCATTCCGGGTTTTTTCGATTTGAAAGTGTGGTTTCTTAGAAGATTTAACATAGAGAGTAGCCGTTTTGTTTAATACACCAAATTTAAAATGAATATTCACACGGTATGATGTAGGCCTACAGGCTCTAACCTAATGACAAACTACCATTTGATCCATTGCCTATTTTGTTACACCTAATTTGCAGGGCAAAATATATCAGACCTAATGAATGCAAGTAGACAAATTGATAAGTAGACACAACTCGCAACAAATCGCAGACACTAAAGGATCCGTGAAAGGAGAGGCAAACTTGTTGACATGTCAAAAATCTTCTTACGATTCTCCGCGGATTGATTTTCTGTAAATAGCTCGTAACAATACGTAACTGCTCGCAAGCCGTATCCGGACACCTACCCCCTAGGGCAACCACCCTCTAGGACGAGTACCCTCCCAGGACAACTACCCCCGGACAACTTCCCGAGACAACTACTCCCTAGGAAAGCTACCTCCAGACAACTACCCCCGGAAAAATAACCCCTAAGACAACTACCCCCAGACAACTACCCCCAGACAACAACCCCGAGGATAGTTATCCTAGGGTATAATCGTCCTAGAGGATGGTTGTTGTAGGTGGTACTTGTCTTGAGGGTAGTTGTCCTAGGGGGTAGTTGTCCGGGGGTATTTGTCCGGGGGAAATTGTCCTAGGGTGTAGGTGTCTAGGAGTAGTTGTCCTGGGGTAGTTGTCCGGGAAGGTAGTCGTCCTAAAGGGTAGTTGCCCTAGGGGGTAGAAATTGTTGTTAGAAATTGTTCGGATTGGGTAAACATTGCACATGGTAAACGATATTTTATTATTAGCCTTCTTATGAATATCCAAACCCATGCAGTTAAAGCGGAGAAAACTATTATTAAGCATTACGAGGAGAAACGGAGTTGTTAAGTAGTTCATGGTAGAATGAGCTATTTGATGATGACGTCTTTTCCCGATGTGGGGTTGTATATAACTCGAAGAAATTATATGATTTCATTTTATATCCTCGCATTCTCTCGATCAATTTTTATTTTGTATTTAATACCTCTCTTTCAACTAAATTGATTCTGTCTTTAGCATCTTCTTACATTATCTCACTCTTTATCTGTTCAATTGAAATCAGCTCACTCTTTTATACCACTCATCTTAAAAGAAATGTCTTACTTTTATTGTTGTCTCACATTCTCTCTTTTCTTTTAAATTCCATCTCTCTTCCATTAAATAAATCTTTCCCTTTATCACCTTCTCATATTCTCGCAATCTTTCTCGGAGTCCTCCTTTTATATTCTATCCCTCTATCATATCCTTCTTTCAAGTCAAATTTCTATCACTTTAAATCAATTATCTCTAAACCTCTCACTCCTTATCTCTCCCTTTTAATTACTCTTACTGAATTATACATCTCTTTCATTACAAATTATCTCAATTTCTCTTTCCCCCATATTCTAATGTGCTTTGTGTCCCTCTTCTTCTTCTTATGAAACACAATTGACAGTGAAGTAATTGCAATTAAGGTAATACGCGCCAGACAATAATTATTTAATCACTAATTGCTACTATTTCTATGAACAATCTTGTAATATTGGCGACACCCATTGCAGCAAGATTGCCTATTTACATCAACTTTACAAACGATACATATCATTAATGATTTGGAAAGTAATAGCGATAATAACAATGATAATAAAATAGCAATAACAATAATGATTAATAATTATGATAACAGCAATAATGATGATACTACTAATGATGATTAATATGATAATAATATTTATAGCAATAATCTTCATCCGTATTACGATAATAGAAATAATGATTGTAACAATATACTACAGATAATAATAATAAAAACAATGATGATAATATTGATAAAACTTATAATAATAGCGAATGATACAATTTTTAAGAAAAAATAGAGGCTACTATTCATGGCAGCCTTTCCTTTGGAATTTCGTCCCAGTAAAAACAAACGGTTATTGTGTCCGAACTATGAGCTGTATACAAATGTTTTCTTCCTTTCTATAGAGTAGAAGTAATATTTTTAATTATTATACTTGGATTTTACTAATCCACACACGCTTCAACATGTAACATTGTTTTAAAAATGCCAAGTAAAATTCATTTGTGATATTGGTAAAACAGTGTCTACGTTCGTATCACATCCGAAAAAAAGTAAGCTTTTAAAGACGAATATCCAATATTTTCATTGCGTGCTGATTAGCAATTTTCAAATAAGCAGTTGCAAAAAACAGGGGCGAATACCCTTTTCGGGATGACAGGGGCATACAACCTCAGATAGGTCTATTCCCCAAAATCAATAAAAACCATCATCAAAAAGACGTCCACTACTTGCTCTTTTAAAAACCTCAGGCAGTCCTAAAAAGCACTGTTCATTACAATTGCAGACACATTCACGAACTAAAATATACCCTTTTACCCTCAACATCGACAATATCTCCACCATGCATTGTTTTATAATAAAGATTGTATTATTCTTGCCCTCATTATCAAACAAGCTCATTAACGTAATCTTCTCATTCGCTTTAAAAATTTGTATTTCTTTCAAGTCATGTTCGGTCATGTTCGTGTTTGATACTTTGATACCAACGTTTCCACTCTTTAACCCAAATCTGTCACAAGGATGTTGACATGCCATTTCTAAACAATGTTGCTCAATGAAGTGTGTATACAATGATGTAGCCAATGTATCACTGGAACGCAAAATAATGTCATGAATTATCGTGTATTTTGACACATTGAAATTAGTATTTCTTTGTTCGTTACACACTGGTTCTAGTCGTATCTTACGCATGAGCTCATTACTCGAGACCCAGACAGATATGCAAATTCATTATATATATACGTATATGTGTATTTACATGTTATGCGTGTGTATATTATGTGTGTGGGGGTGTGTTTATATGTGTATTAACATGTATATGTATACAGTTAATAGCTGGATACTGTGGAGGGAGAGCTAGCGGATGGGGGGGGGGGGGGGGGTGGGGTGGGGTTGGGGGTGGAAGCTGACGGGAAATATTATGAGACATTTTAATTTATGACGTATGTTAATTGGACTCCTCAATCCTCCCTCTCTCTCACATGGTGCATCCACAAGCCTACTGTATATGTCAATTATAGACAAAATGAAATTGAGGGGCACATGCACATTATAAATAATTATTCATATTTAGGTACATCGTTTTCTATTGGTAAATGTTATATTGTATTGTCTATCGTTTGTATTTTCACTTTCAAAAAAGCTATTGGAAGCAAAATTTCTATGTAATATTTGCATGCATAGACCAATAAAATAATCTTGAATCTTGAATCTTGAATGATTTACACCCCTTGGAAATTTGATGGTTTTGTCTGTGTTTCATAACTCAAGAATAAAAAGAGGACTAGTTGACTTAGGGCCTGTGTTGAATACTTTTAGATGTAAGCTTTTAATATGTCACGTTCTCAAAAAAAAATAAACGGGGAAAATAATTGTTCACATACTTAAACAAAAACTTGGTAAGGGTATTAATAATTTAGTTGTTCACTGTATATGTACAGTCAACAAATTGAACTAAATGACTTATAGCCCTTGTAAATTTGACTGTGTTTCCTAAATCAATAATAATAGGACAGGTTAAATTAGGGCCTTGGTTGAATGCTTTTAGATGTAAACTGTAATATGTCACTTTCTTAAGAAATGTAAATTTGGACAAAATTAATTTTCACATATACTTAACAAAATATACAACACGGTAAGGGTATGAATAATTTAGTTGTTAAATGTATATTTCTATGTCTATGTCTATGTCTACGTATAGTATATCTAAATGCATATGTATATTTAATGTAGTAGGCATATGTATAGGTAAGGATATGTATACGTGTATATACAATTGTTTAGACCCTATAAAGCACCACAGAGATAAGAAGAAGGATGGCAATGGCGAGATCAACAGTACAGAATATGTCCCACATCTGGAAGAGCCGAGGCCTATCTCTCCGTCTGAAGGTTCGTCTGCTTCAAGCAACTTCTTTCTCTATTGATACTTACGGAAGTGAGTCCTGGGCCATAACAAAGAATGACAGAAAGAGAGTTGATGCTTTTGAAATGTGGTGCTACAGGAGGCTGTTGCAGGTGTCATGGAAAGATAAAATGAGAAATGTGTGGGTCCTGGAAAAGAAGGGGAATCATGGAAAGAAAACTAAACTATTTTGGGCACATTGTTAGCAGATCTGAAGGTGTTGAGAAGCAAATACTGCAAGGAGCAGTCGAAGGAAAACGGGGTAGAGGTCGTCCACCAATATTTTGGACTGATGATATCAAGAAAGTGTCTGGACAAGGAATTAAAGGTGCAACACAAATGACAGGTGAAAGAGTTGCATGGCGTGCTCTTGTGAAGGCCACAGCATGATGATGAAATACTTTACTACACAAACTTCACGTTGATGTTGTAATCGAATATCTTTGACGTTTCATCATTTCGTGAAGCACTAAATATTATTATACAATGCAGTTTGAAATAAGTCTCTTTGCAATACAAATGAGATCCATAAAACACAAAAAGAACATCACGTCAAAAATGCTAATAATCAATATGATTATCATTTTTAAATAAATTGCTTGAATGTAAAGATAAAAAGTGATCCGTCTTTTAAACATCATAAATTAACATCTCTTTAACAATTTTTGTATTGCTCTTCATGTGAAAATTAGTGCATGGAACGACAAAAAACCATAATCGAGTATTTTTATAATTTCGATAGACTTTTATAAAAGTGATTAATGAACGAAACTCTGTTTAAAAAAAAAAAAAAAAAATATTTATTTATTTTTTATTTATTTATTTATTTATTTATTTATTTATTTATTTATTATTATTATTATTATTATTATTTTTTTTTTTTTTTGGGGGGGGGGAGGGGGGGTGGGGGTATTCCCTTGTCCCTATCCAAGTGCTCAGATGCAATCAGTGGTGCAACCAGGTAGTATGAAAAATTGAACGAAACAAATCCAATTTTTATATTCCCACTTCTTTCTCGCAAATGAATCTATATTGTCTGGAGCAATCCATATCATGCCAACAATATTCACGATATTTTGTAATTCGAAAACAATTTCCATTGTCATTGAAGGAACTACTTTCGAAATTGCTATAGCTAAGACTTGATCCGTCTAGCCACCTTGCATCGCTGTCACTTGGTCCGGTCAGCCCAATCCAGGAATCCTCGCTGGCAAAACTTACGATGAAGTCCTGTTCCTCTTGCGACTCGATGAAGACCAGATGGGATCCGTATTGGGAACAAGCTGAAACCGCGGAAGCATGAGTCATCTCCGAAGTGCTGAAATTGTACAACGACCCGCCGAATTTACAATTCAGCGGAGAACTCCGAGAACATGCTAAAAAGATGAAGAGAATATATACATTTCTTAATTTTAAGGAAGTAGACAAATTTGAATATTGGGGTAGAAAGTGAAAGGTTCAAAGAAAAAAAAGATGATGATAAGAACGATGATGATGACAATAGAAGACAAATTATAAAGATAGATGCAAAGACATGGCAAATATTACAGCTTTAATAATCAATGTCTAAAGAAATTTTGCCTACCATCTCTAATTTAGGCAAATTCATGGTATGTCCATGTTATTTCTTTCAATTATAAAGGAGAGAGGGGGAGGGTGGGGGGGGGGGGGGGGGGGAGGGGAGAGAAGAAGCCGTTTAATTGTTTCTCATACTTACTGGATATGGTGGTTTCTTGCGATGTCGTTGTGTCTAATATCGTGGTCGTGTGGCTCGTCGTGGGCTTGGTCGTCGCGTCGGTAGTCAATGATTTTGATGACTCTGAAAAGTTGGTAACAAACATAACTGAGTTAAATGATCATGATAGAGTTTAGGGTTCAGGGTTACAGGCGCTTACACAGCGGGGGGGGGGGGGGTTGAGGTTGAACCCCCTCTCAATCTTTTTGTATGTGTGTGACTTTTGATGAAACCCACCCCCTCATTATTTGTTGTAATTAAAAAAAATTAAAAAAATAAAAATTTTGTACCAAAAGTTGACCCCCCAAAAGTGACCTTACCACCCCCCTGATTCACCAAAAAAGTGCTCTTACCCCCCCCCCCCGTTTATTCAGCGGCTGGCTGAGGCGTTGGGAAATTTTCGGCCCGATTTAAACATTTTAACCCCCCCCCCCCCTTGAAAAAACCTGTGTACGCCACTGCAGGGTTATAACAAATGAAAGCACACGTAACCTGCAATCAGATTAGAAATGATAATATTAATGGTGCTTTATCAAAGTCGAAAGGACGTTTTTGCCAAATAATTTATGTAAATGTGTTCCTGTGGCGTATATATTTTCATCAAACTCATGGGCAAAAAAAAATATGGACGGACATCCCCCCCCCCTCTTCAAAAGATTTTTTTAGCGATGCCCTTGATGACACCTAAACAGGATTTAAAGGACTTGTTAACATTGTTCAGATGAGAGAAAATGGCGCTAAGGTAGTGACTATAATGCTAGATGTATAGTTAATAATAATCTTAAAGTTTGAGTGACAACAGACCATTATTAATTGATACAAATTGGGGAAAATGATTATTTCTAAATTCTCCCGACTATATTATTACAATCTATTTACATTTTAGGTTAGTATAAATCGTCACAAGAGAATGAATGGCTATTTATACCATCCAGACATTTAAGTGGTGAAAGATTTTTAAAAGCCTGTCTTATGTCTTACTGCCATGGAAAAATGGTTGGGAAAATTCAAAAATGATTGGGAAGGGAGAATTTACTGTTAATGGGTGTTGGACAGTGACGCCTTAAAAAACAACATGAATATACTTGTGGTTTGAGAATTTTTTTCAATATTTTTTGCATGTAAGAGAGTTAGAACAGTAAAATGAATATAATTGTAACATTTCATACAAAAATCACGCAGTTTTTTCATCAACCCTCAACAATGTTACCTAGTCATTTTAAAAGACTAAAACGAAGAAAATTTAATTCATGAAAACATAATTTTTAACAGCTAATTCATTTTGTAAGGTATAAACTAAGTCAGCATGTTTGTAGATTTAGTGGTGCTTTGTCAAAGTTGAAAGGACGTTTTGCCAAATAATGTATATAAATGCGTTCCTGTATCGTGTTTGTTTTCATTAAACTCATGGCATTAAAAAAAGTAGACGGGTACTCCTCCCCCCCCCCCTCTCAAAAGAAATTTTTAGCGATGCCCTTGGAAGGAAAGGATAAAGAAATAGAGAAATAGAGAGATAGAGAGAGAGAGAGAGAGAGAGAGAGAGAGAGAGAGAGTGTGGAGGGTGGAGGGTGAGATAGGGAGAGAGAGAGAGAGGGGGAGAGGGGGAGGGAGTGGCTAGACATAATTATGATAATGATCAAATGCATGCTGTCATTTCATTGTTTCCCATATACTTACTGGAGGTGGTGGTTTCTTCATATGTCGTTGTGTCTGAAATCGTGGTCGTAGGGTTCGTCGTGGGCTTGGTCGTCGCGATCGTAGTCGATGATTCTCTTGACTCTGATTTTTTTAAAACAAACATAACTGAGTTAAATAATCCTGATTTAACTGAGGGTCTAGGGTTTTGAAAAACGAAATCACACTTACAAAACAATGAGACTAGGAATGACGACCGATCAGGGTTTGAAGACCAAAACGAAGAAAATTTAGCTCTATTAAAACACAAATTCGATCAGTTTATTTCTTCTATGAAGTATGAATTGTGCCAGCAAATGTGTAGGTTTAACAGCGGTGTTGTTTTTCAATATTCGAAGGGAATATCTAAATGTGTTCCTGTGGCGTGCTTGCTGTTGGTAAACTCGTGAGCAAAGAATAAGACGGGTACATCCCCCTTTAAAAATCTTCTTTTTTTAGCGACGCCAGTAATAGGAAAGGATCAACAAAAAAGTAAGATAAAGACTGAGAGAGAAAGAGAGAGAGAGAGAGAGAGAGAGAGGGGGAGAGAAAGTGAGAAAGTAGAAGGAGGGGGTTGCTGGTAAAGGAGGTGTGGAGAGAGAGAGAGCGAGAGGGGGAAAGCGAGAGAGAGAGAGGCAAGGAGTAGTGACTAGACACATCATAATAAATTAATGCATGACGTCATTTCATTGTTTATTTTACTTACTGGAGGTGGTGGTTTCTTCATATGCCGTTGTGTCTGACATCGTGGTCGTAGGACTCTTCGTGGGCTTGGTCGTCGCGTCCGTAGTCAATGATTCTGTTAACTCTGAAACATTTTTTTTAATCAAACATATCTGAGTTAAATTATCATGATATAATTGAAGGTTCAGAGTTATGAAAAATTAAAGCACACGTACAAAACAATGAGAGAGAGAGAGCAAAAGAGAGAGAGAGAGAGAGAGAGAGAGGGGGCTATAATGGTTAGATAATCCAGGGACCTGATAGAGAAGGACTGGAATCAAGCCGGCGAAACCCTTGTAATTTATTCAACGCATTCGTGAGTTCTAAAGTCTAACAATGGGATGTGTAACATTCCACTTGGCTTTGAAGTTCCATGCTCTGAACCGCGCTTCCACTGCGGGGAATTTCGGAGGCCCGGCACCAGTTTTACATTTATTACAAAATATTAAATTACCGGCAAAATGTCAGTGTAAATCAAAAAGTTGGGGATTGTATTGGGAATAGTGCATCAAACAAATTTTCAAATTTAGAACTCCGTCCTTCCTATAATTTGTGTGCAAGAGTTGGTAAAAGAAAAATTACATCCTGGCAAAAACTCAATATTTAAGGATGATGCGCTAATTTGTGCGTGTTTTAATGTCCCGTTAGTTAATCCATGATATACAATCTTCGTTAACTATAAGTTGGCAAATGCGTGTTTTCGCGTGTTTTCTGTATTTTTTAAGTTGGAAAAAGGATGAAATTACACAAGTTTGTGTTCGCTTGTTCGACTCATTACACATTTAACAATTGATGAGAAATCATTGAAAGGGGGCAGCGAACAGTTGCTGTGATACCATTTTCTGTTGTAGGAATTCTAAATCCTGAAATTTGATGCGCTCTTTTATCTTACCACCTGGTCAACAGTTGCATATTAGCGCATAACTTTTCGGTGGCGTGGAGCATGGGGTCAAAGGAGAGGGGCTTGATTCCAGTCCTTCTCTATCACGTCCCTGGGTAATCACAAGCATGGCGTCATTTCAATGTTTCTATTACTCATACATACTAGAGGTAGTGGTGATTTGGGAAGTCGTTGTGTCTAAGCGTTTCAGTATCATTGTCGCATGGCTCGCCGTGGGCTTGGCCATCCTTTCGGTCGTTAACACTGTCACCTCTAAAAATAAAAGAAACATAACTGATGTAATGACGATGCATAACATTATTACCATTGAAATAATTTTCCCGGTGGTGGGGGGGGGGGGGGGTTCACATCTTTGGGAGTGCCTAGTCATTAAAAAAAAAAACAATCGGGGAAGAAAAAAAATCAAATTCGCTAAATACTTTTCCTGTGGGAATCCATTTCTATCTTAAAGTTGCGAAAGAGGATCGCGAGGTATTTTATTCTTTTTTTTTTCTTCTTCTTCTTTTCTATCTTGCAACTACGGAATTTTAGTTTACCCCCTATATAAAGTTTCTTCATGCTCTTTGTTCAATAATTGGCCACCCCTCCGCTCCCCCCGATACGCCTATGATATTACACCTACGTTTATCGCAGTGTCTCCCTTGAAACCCACTTGAGCAGTGACAGTTGTAGCCTACCATAGTCTCCTCGCACCAGCCGTTTTTACAGAGGTTTTTGCCACAATCTGTGAAATAAGTAAGAAACGAGATAAAATCCAAACTGATCAAAACAACTATCATTACATTTTGGTTTATTTGGTGTGAAGAGTTATATTTTGGGGCTTTTTAGAAATTGAGCAAGACTAATGCTTATGCATTTTTACCAGGGTTTGAATATGTCAAAGGACATGAAAACCATACTCCATAGTTTTTTTTATACCCCTTTAATTTGTGTCAGTGCCCCTTCTAAAATTCACAGTTTTGCCTAGTGATTTTCACTGCCCTTGGTGACCTAAAATTGTTTTTCTCCCACGACCATTGTTTCTGGCTGTTGTCATAGTTGTATAGTTTGGGTTAGAGTTGCATTTGGCTTTAAGGTTAGGGTTAGAGTTATGGTTAGGATTAGGCTCGAATCTAACCTTTAAAGATGACTACTTATTAAAACAAACAACATCAAAAAATCATAAAAGCAGACTTGTGAAAGTTTGAATAAAATCGGACAAAAAAAGAAAGTTATGATTTTTTAAAGTTGTAATTACTATACGTACGACACTTCGATTTCGCTGAATCGGTAATGTTACTGTGACGTAGCACCGGACGACTTTTAGATTGGTGTTAAATTCTCTGAAATGTTTGACGTTCGAGAGTAATTCTTTTTAGGGGACCGATGCTAGTATGCTATCCGTAATAATTATATTTTGAGTAGTGCCCCAAGGAAGAGGGCCCTTAAGAGAAAAACGGCAATAAATGATTTGTTAGTCTATGTATACGACAAACAGGAGAGTTATCCCTGACTACGTCACAATCGATTGGACATTTATATAGATTTAGTGATCTCAAATTACAACTTGATGTGGAACAATTTTTGCTTGAACCAACACCCGTTTAACCTTGCCCTATCAAGAGCGTCCTGCCGCTACTCTAATGAAATGAAACGCGATACATAAAAGGTCGCCTTGTCCTAAATGAAACGATTTTTTTTCCTTAGGGGGGGGGGGGGGGGGAATAGAGATAGTAATAGCAGTAGGAGTAGTAGTATAAGTAGTAGGTTCATTATAATTAGAAGTAGCAGTAGTAGTAGTCAGTGGGCGATGGGGGGGGGGGAGGGGTAGTGAGCTCATTTTTTAATAATTTTCTTGGCCCCGCAAATTAAAAAATCGCACCGACCGATATTTCGCTCATTGGAGGGGGGGGGGGGGGGAGGGGAGGGGGAAGGGGGAGGGGGATTAAGAATACTTATTTTTTTTCTTCCCCCAATTCGTTAAAATGTTCACCCCCCCCCCCTCCCACCTTCAGCATCCCGCCCCCTTTCCCCCTGGAACCGCTGCTGACAGAAACATTGAGGGTGGTTCAACTCCAAAAACACACCCCCCCCCCCCCTGCGTATGCGCCTGAATAGTACTATCATGAACAGCAGCAGCTGTAGTAAACTCGTCAGCTATTCCACCGTCATCTAACGAAATACCAACCAATATAATTATGCACCATCTATAATACATACTCTACCACCTAGTAGCCTGAAATTAAATATCAATGAATTTGCTTTTAATGGATTAATAGTCAAGTCTCCTCGCTGTTTTGAACAGCTTTCTAATTAAACAGTATATGTTACTTTTCGGATGCAACGATTCACTTTCATTATCTAAATAGGTTTGAAAAATTAGGATGGCAATGTTAATGCGTCGAACACAAAATTTGTACCCTGAAATCTCTTCGACCTTCGATTGAGTTAAAACAGGAAGAACATATACAAAATTGTTATGTATGAAAAAGAAATATTCCTTTTGTCATAATGTGACAATAATTTCGCGACATACATATTTCTAAAGATGTTTTATTCATGTTGTTTTTGTTTTATATATGTTTATTGTTATCAAAATAATAAGTATCAATACTATATTAAACATGTCATTGGAATTATTATTTGTATTAATATAATCATGATGCTTTTATTATTATCACAATTATTATTACATTTTATAATTATTATTATAATTAGTAGTAGTAGTTGTCGTAGTAGTAATAAAAGTGGTAGTACTACTACTACTAGTAGTAGTAGTAGTAGTAGTAGTAGTAGTAGTAGTAGTAGAAGTAGTCGTCGCCGCACTAGTAATAGAATAGTAGTAGTAGTAGTAGAAGCAGTAGTAGTAGTAGTAGTAGTAGAAGACTAAGCAGTAGTAGTAGTAGTAGAAGCAGTAGTAATAGTAGTAGTAGTAGTAGTAGTAGTAGTAGTAGTAGTAGTAGTAGTAGTAGAAGACTAAGCAGTAGTAGTAGTAATAGAAGCAGTAGTAGTAGTAGAAGCAGTAGTAGTAGTAGTAGTAGTAGTAGTAGTAGTAGTAGTAAAAATTATGAGTAGATATCAACTTTAAATACCATTGAAAAAAATAAGTTATCTGCATGTCGATTTATTGATTAAACCGAGAAATTAATTTGATATTTGAGAACAAAAAATAAATAAAGCATGAAACCTACCCGGCATTCTGCATACATTATACCCTCCCGGGATCCCTTCTTTACTCTTCCTTCGGTTGCACCCGGCGGCGACAGAAGGGACAGGTATACGTTTGGGAATGCTCTGCACCATGCTGCCATCCTGGAGTTGCTTCATCTCACATTTGTGGAACATGGGCAAAGTGTAATTTAGGCCGAACCCGTCTGGACAAGTTGTCTTCGCCATCTCGGATCGATCCGATAACACAGGCAAGGCTGTGAAGAATATATTAGACAATTAATTGATAGTTGTTCTGTTCTTCCTACGCATCTTCGCCTCCTGCCTCCCCTCTTCTCCTCCTGTTTTCCTCCTCTACCTCTCCCCTCTTGCTACTCTTCCTTCCCCTACCCCCCCCTGATATTTCTCTCCACCCCTCCACCTACTAATCTTCCTCCTCCTCCTCCTCTGCTCATTCCCTCCTTCCTCTACTCATCATCATATAGCCCTCCTCGAGCCTAATCGTCACCACCCTACCTTCATCCTCCTCCTCTTCCTCTTCCTATTCCTCCTTCTCCTCCTCATCCTTCCCGTTATTTTACTCCTTCCCTTCCACCCTCTCCCCTATCTTGGGGATGCAGTTTTTCGTAATATATTTTGAAACATTTTTTAGGGAGACTTTTTTCGAATGTGATATTTGGTTTGAAATGCCACCTAGGTCTAGTTGGGGGCACAAAATCCTTGTCAATTGTTGTGTAATAATGTCTGCAAAAAGAAACTGGCTCTGTAATTTAGCTGCTTGTCTGACACAGTAGAAACAGGCAGATCTAGGCTCTGCCCCCGGATTTAGGAATTTTTATAAAGTGTCAAATTACAGACTCTGCTTGCAGACTAATAACGTAGGTTTTGTACCTCGCTACTTTTGAAAGCCAACTATTTTTCAGCAACATTCATGAAATCCCAAAAATATGCCGGATAGAAAAATACTTACCGAAGGACAAAAATGTGACGGTACCAAACAGCAACTTCCAAAATACACCTTTCTTTTGGTCTTTAGACTGTAATTAGAAATAAATAGTGATATTGCTTTAAATCATGTAGAACGAAAACTAGAATAACAGCAAGAACAACAATAACAACGACATCAACAAAGATAATGGTGATATTGATAATGGTGATGATGATGATGATGATGATGATGATGGTGATGATGGTGATGATGGTGATGATGATGATGATGATAATGATGATGATGACGATGATGATGATGATGGTGATGATGGTGATGATAATGATGATGATGATGATAATGATGATGATGATGATAATGATGATGATGATGATGATGATGATGATGATGACGATGATGATGATGATGGTGATAATGGTGATGATAATGATGATGATGATGATAATGATGATGATGATGATGATGATAATGATGATGATGATGATGATGATGATGATGAGTATCACGAAGTAATGTATAAGAGCAATTACCGTTACTTTGAACAACACATACATGTATTTCCAAAGGTAACATAATTGTCGAGCCTATCACATCTGTCATCGGTATTTTATATAGGTTTTCTTGGCCTATTTCAGAATTTATCTAGCAAATTTGGTTAACGCTGATTCAATTCTATATTTTGGTGTAGACTGTCATGTAATATAAGGGATCAGGCAAGGGATTTTTTGTTATTAGGGGGCAAAGCAGGTTTTTGAAAATTAAATGTTGTAAAAGGTCGATGGGTTTCAACATGTTCAGGACACCTCCCTGCACAATTTCTAAGTGGACTACCTTACAAATATGCTGCTGGAAAAAAAATGTGGCCCTTTTCTAAAATTACTGTTGAACTATTTTGGAGATTACTCTTCAACGAAACCTCATTTTACCAGGTGTGAGGTGTCATATGAAAGGAAATTAAATTTTATACATGATGTAACACGTGATAGAGGTTAACGGATAATTTGCATGACACTTTCGAGCATAAGATTGCCCCATATTAATCCAATTGTGAAAAGTACTTTAAATACTTAAATATTTTGAAAAACTGTCTATAAATATGTTCAATATTATATTTAAATTTCAAGTTTATTGCTTTTGTAAAAATTTAGTTGACACTTTGATATGAGCTGAAATGGCAATTTTGGTTGATAAGGGATGTCTTTTACTAATAGCAACGGTAACATAATTAGATGAAAAACAGAATATATCGCGAATAGATGTTATCATTGACGAGATGACTATTTCGATAGGAAGTATGATGTCAGGTAATGGAGGTTTATAACATTTCATGTGTTCCCAGAAACCATGTTAGGCTTTCGGTCAAACTAATAGATGAAATTAATTTCAGATCATTTCATTTATTTATTTGTAAGTCAAAATATAAACAAAATATATACTTTAATATCTTCGATGAAAACACATATAATGATATATCTCTCTCTTCCATCTTTACTTTATTGTGGTATCTGGTCATTTAGCAGCTGGTGGCATTCGTGAAGGAGATCTCATTTGAACTTTTCTCATGAATTTCCCTTTTCCACTTTTCACAATGTGCTTAAATAGTCGTTGGTCAGAGGATCACCATTCCAGGTGAGAGACATGATCTGCAGTCTGAAACGGGTAAAGTGCTTGGTGTGGGTAAGAACTTTCATCAATATGACCAGTATGACAGCCCAAAGGAGACCTCAATGGATGCAAGAACATTACAATCAGATTCGCTGACCCCGGAACCCCCATAAATATATAAGCTTTTATCGTACTAGCCCTTTTCCTTGTGGAACGACACTTGACCTTTAACTCAGATGGCGGCCATTTTGAATGTGCCCACTATGGCGGCCCCGCATTATAGGACACGTAGTCTCGTCATGCTACAGCCCTTTAAATTCATGATTATCATCTAGATCCAGATCTTATTTATGTATCACTCAACCGATAACCTACATCTTTGTTGAAAACACACCATGCCCTAGAAAACATATTGCCCCCTACCCAATTTTTTTTAGTGGGGGGGGGGGGCATTTCAAAGGAGGGAGGAGGTTCAGGTATGCACCATGTACATGTTTCGGACTGCAATCATGTCTGTCACTTGGAATCGGAACTTATTTTATGTATTATTGAACCGATAGTCAAAATAGTCAAATTTGTTTTCTGAGAACACATATTTTATCGGTTGATATGGATATTATCACCATACCAACGGGAATTAAGAGATATATATCGTTGAAATATGAAGAGACTGCATCACCTGACATCATACCTCCTATTGAAATATTCATCTGCTTTATGATATATATTTTATTTTCATCTAGCTATGTTACCATTGCTAAGGAGAAGACAGCCCTTATTAACCAAAATTGTCATTTCAGGTCATATCAAAGCGTTAACTTTCGAGCGCTATAACTGTTTTGTTACAAAAGCAATGAGCTTGAAAAATTTAAATATAATATTAAAAGTATTAATGGACATCTTTTAAGAATGTCCAAGTAAGTAATTGTTTATTGTACACATAGAAATTTTAGGGCAATTCATATTTTTTGAAAGTTTGTAAAAATAAATTATATTTTGGGCTCAAATTTATAATGCAAATTATCTCCGATCCTATTAAATGTTATATCATCTTGCATTGAATTAAATTTTCTTTCATATGACTTGTCACACATTGTAAAATGAAGTTCCGTTAAAAAGTAATCTCCAAAAGATTTCAACAATAGTTTTTCCAGCAGCCTATTTTCAAGGTAGTCCACCTAGAAATTGTGCAGGGAGGTGCCCTGAACGCGTTCAAACCGAACAAACTTACTCAACATCCCAGCTGACAAACAACCGAAAATTGAGGTTTGCCCCCTAGGTTATTCATGATTCAGTTAATACCATCTTGCACATGTGCCATACAGGATTCATTCAAATTCATCAGAGAAATGGAAGTAATTTAAATGAACAAAATGCTTAATTGGATGCTCAGACTGGGTTTGAATGTATAAAGGGCATGATTACGTGATCATCAGATCATGTCATTCTGAAATATAGGCACGCTTGACGAAAAGCGTACATAACCCATGAATTCGAATGAGAAACAAGCTAATTTGATTCAATCAAACGCGAATTAGAATGCACAAATATTGTATATAAAATTTTGAATAGCAAGACTTGGATAAATCAATTTTGATTGAATGGATTTAAAATTTTGCAAAGTTGGCCACGAAAACCTTTCTCTTTTCTTCTTTTCTTTTTTATATTCTTACTTTCTTCTGTTTTTTCCTTCTCTTCCTTCGTTTTTATTTTATGTTTTGTTCATCCTTCTTCTTCTTTCTTCTTATAGCCCTGATGAAGATCATACTGGGACGTTTAACTGAAGAGAGCATGGAATTTGCCCACTAGACAAGTTCGTAGTTAGCACATTATAAAATGTGTATAGAAAGGTCACTACGAAGACTCCAGTCTAACTTAAGCTTTGGCTGTTTTTGGCTGAAGTGGCATGTACAATTATATTTCTTCAAAAAAAACTTGAACCACACAGTCATTCTCCTTTTCAAACGAACATTGCTTACCTCTGGTTAAGTCATAAATGATATGTTTAATTTGTGTTTTCTATTCTCTTTTTCTTGTTTGTCGCCCACATTTATATTTTTTTAATGCATCATGTAATCCGTGTGAGTCTAAAAAAGTAAACACTCAGATAATTGTCATTTATTATAAAAGTCAGCTATAAACGAAAGGTTATCATACATGTTTGAGAGAGTGTTATATCCTGAATCGTTTGATATCATTTTTGTGTGGTATGTGTCCACGCTTGGATGAACAGGAGGCATTGTTTGCGACAGTTCAAAAATCGACTTGCGCCAAAGTATCAGAGTGAGGTATGAATTAAATGTATCAAATGAGATGCATTGCATTTCCTTTTTGCAGAAACAAAGTCACACGCACACGCACAAGCGCGCAGAAATTTTCTTTGACATTTGATATGTGTTGCATGATTAATTTTGTTAGGGATGTTATTTGGATCTGCAAAGACGGAATTAAAACTCAAATCTTAATTGTCAATATTCAAACATCACATGTATTACTTTGGCGCAAGTCGATTTTTGCACTCTCCTAAACAATGTATCATGTTCATCCAAGCGTGAACACATACCACACACAAATGACCCTAAATGATTTGGGATAAAACACTCTTTCATAAGATGTATAAGAGTTTACTGTTCGTAGAGGATTTTTTAAATAATTAGCAATGTCCTAGGTGTAA